ATGTTATTGACCTTGTTACCTTATCTAATTTGAACCAGAGCTGTATTCAACATATCGTTGATATGTAGGATTTTCTTTTTTAATTATTTACTTTTAAATTAAGAAATTAACTAGTGTATGATACTAAAATTTTAATTGTAAGTCTACAAATGTGATGACATGCCCTTTGACCACTGAACATAGGAAGACCTGTCTAGATAAATTATTGGATATAACTTGGTAATGCAAGAATTTTTGTTTTAGCTTGGTAATATCTATAATATAAGTGTATAATTTGTTAGAGATTTAGAAAATCATACGGAGATAGAAAGAAATCTTACAAAGTGCAATCTGGAATGAAGAAGCATCATATTGACACAAAGAAGTGAAGATTAAGAATTTATTTAAATATTTCCTTTTGAAAATAAGAAATGAAAACATGGATAATATTAAAATTTGAATTATAAATTATGTTTTAATGTCAAGTTTATTGACATACATCAATAATAAAGTTTAGTGAAATTTTGAATGTAACTGCAAAACAATGAGACATACTTCTACTCCCCCCCCAACTGTACACACAGGGATTTGGAAATTTATGAGAAGTTAGGAATACCTTTTTAACAAAATCCTGTTTGAAATCCTCATCAAGATGTAACTTGCAGTCTTCGTGTGATTTCTGGAAGCTGGGAAAGGTTTTGACTTGCAGTCTTTGTGTGATTTCTGGAAGCTGGGAAAGGTTTTGACTTGCAGTCTTCATGTGATTTCTGGAAGCTGGGAAAGGTTTTGACTTGCAGTCTTCGTGTGATTTCTGGAAGCTGGGAAAGGTTTTGACTTGCAGTCTTTGTGTGATTTCTGGAAGCTGAGAAAAGTTTTGACTTGCTGTCTTCGTGTGATTTCTGGAAGCTGGGAAAGGTTTTGACTTGCAGTCTTCGTGTGATTTCTGGAAGCTGGGAAAGGTTTTGACTTGCAGTCTTTGTGTGATTTCTGGAAGCTGGGAAAGATTTTGACTTGCAGTCTTTGTATGATGTTTGGAAGTTGGGAAAGGTTTTGACATATGCAGTGATTTCTTTCTCCAATTTTGTAGTGTTGTTGTTGTTTTTTCTGTTATACTAGACAACTACTAATTACCTCTGAAAGAACAAATTGAATATTTTTTATCCCATTTTTACTGTTAAATTTTTTTTTACCTTGCAGCGGAGTTTTCTACTTACCTTAACTACTGCCGGTCTCTTCGTTTTGATGAAAAGCCAGATTATTCATATTTGCGACAACTATTGAGAAATCTCTTTCACAGACAAGGATTTACTTATGACTATGTGTTTGACTGGAATATGCTAAAGTTTGTAAGTTTTAGTATTTGTTATTAGTCATTTTGTAATAAAATCATTTTTTAAGATATTTTCCTCTGTTAAAACTTATTTATCATTTCTTTCATTAACCTCTTAAAGTCTAGTGCTCAGTAGTATGCCATCTTTGATTAATAAACATTAATATCTTATAAACGTCACCAAATCTAAAACACGGGCATTCACAACACATGGCATGATATTTATGATACTTTTTTGGTTTATAAATTTAATTTTTTTTTGTCAACTTATGATTTATAATAAAAACTGCAATGCTACATAGCTATTTGCTGTACTGTTGATATGAGTTTAGTTACTTCTGCATTAAATGTGTTATAAAAATTGGTCGGTATATGTTTGTTTGAAGTGGACTAGTGTAAATTATTATATTTGGTTAATGTTGATTTACATCAAAACACAATTGTGTTTTATTTATAAGCTTGTTCATCTTTTATGACTTTTTTTTCACCTTTTCTTAATAATAATATTAAGATCAAGTTTAGAATCAGTAAATCGTATACAGTCATAATAACTGAAGTAGAATACAAGGCAGTGGATAATAACACATTAACTATTCCAACTCTGCCCACAAATCGGGGATTGTTTAATATTTTCTTTCCTGATAATCTTTTTTGTGTTTAAATATATCTCTTTGAAGGTTAAAGGAATGCTCTTCTGTGACAGGACATCAGGTAGGTTTAGTGTATATTGTGATAGCAAATTATTGGGATAAAACAAATCTTTTTTTATTACATATATATATATATTTTTAAGTTTATCTTATTCAAACAACACACAAATAACATATCTTGTTATTTAGTGAAAGTGAATTATTTAAATATTCATTTATCTCATCCATGTATAGTGTTGACTAAAGGCATGACACAAATTCTTACAAAGTAAGAGATAGTGCTGCCATTTTGAAAAGTGAATTCATTGATCAACAATAAACCTTTGTCAATTATGCCATGTTTTATATGATTCATAGCTGCTTCAATTTGCAATACAAAGAGTCAATATAAATATGTTAAACAAGTTAATACTCACTGGATATATAAAATGAAAATTCTAAAACAAAATTAAATAATTTTCAATTTTTTAAAAACAGTGCCTCATAATAAAATTTAGAAATTTTGCAACTTAAAAATTATAAAACAACAAATCAAATATTTTAGTTTTCTTAAACAAAAACTACATACTATTTAGAAAATTTTAGTAAGTCTCACGAAATTTAATTATGTATTTCCACTGTGAGAATGATAAAGGTTGGGGGGGGGGCATTGCAATATTATTACTGCCGTAAATTGATACAAATATTCTAGTTGCAAGTTTTTTCCTGCATCTCATCCACTTGAGAATACTGTCCTCATTCATGATCAGTATAGTTTATTATAAAAATTAAACAAAAAAATAATTACACACGAATAGAATAGACCTTTTTTAACATGGCGTTTAATTATCATTTCTGATTTAATTTTCAAATACTTTATTTTTGTATGAAAATTATGTTCTTGTAGTTATGTGACATGAAAACTCAAACACAGGCAGCTTCAACTCAAAAGTAGCAACATTCTTAATTTTTGCTGCTAGGGAGGAAACAGGAATCATCAGGAGCAGCAAGAGGACCAAGAAAGAAGAGATCGGCATCACCAGCACACTAGCAACACTTCCCGAGCTGCCTTGCTGGGACCAACGACGGGCAGTAGTAGCAGGTTACGGGGAGCTCCTGATTCGGCTAGTCCTGGTACTGGACGATCTCTCAGTTTGCATCCTACTCCTCCTGCCAACACGGCACAGGCTGCTATGGTGCCACCAGTCACTGCTCCTCTCCCACTTCTTAATCCTGTGCCTGTAGGTGTGACCGTGAGGTCTCGCACACGCTCTTCGCCACGAGCTGCTCTTCCCAGTCACGAGGGTGCCACACATAGGTGACCAGAGTAATCCGTAAAGTCTGTATTTTATCGTTTTCAATGGTCAAGGGACCCAAAGTTTTTTTGTAAGAGAAGGAAGCTGGTAGTAAAGTTGTTTTTTGTAGGCAGCATTCTAATGAGACAGAGTTTTCATGATGATTTCTTAGGACAGGTTTGAAAGGTAGGCTTTTTCAGGTTACAAAATGGTGGGATTAAAACATCTGGAAGAAGTGCTTCCATTAACTGGTCAACGCTAATTCTTCGTAACACGTTATCAACAACAGTAGCGGGGTCTTTGAGGTGATATAGCAGTGCACATCTTGTCATTGGAGGAAAGCCATGAAGTTGACTTTTTTTTTTCAAATCTTATTTTTTTATGATTTTTATGTTATAAAAAGATTCACATAGTGTGTGTGGTTATTTGTTT